GGGGGGGCGTGGGGGTTAACTTGGAGTAATTTTCCTTCTTTATTGAAGCAAAGGAGCTTTTTGGCTTAGAGTAACTTCCCCTGAAAGTTATTGATAGGCTTAAGCTTCGTAGCCAATATATACAAGACACTGATTTTGACGCTGTTCATTTATGTCAAAGTTGTTATAGTGTAGGCTTTGTAATGAGTAGGTCCGGAGTTAGATCCCTGCATCGTTTTCTGACTCCTTTTTTCAATTTTATTTTCAAATATTCAAAATTGGAACAACTATAATTCAGTTTAATGCATTGCAATATGTGATTTTTATGGATTATTAATCTAATTAAACAAGTTAAACTAAATAATTTACCATTGTCACTATTTTGAAATATTTAAAGTCCTTTTCAAATAAGAACTTTGATATTTAAAAATAGTGACACTGGTGAAGAATGTACTTGAACTTGTTGCTATCCTTTACCTTGAGGGAGTGTTTTGGTGATGACAAAACTTACTATGAGGCCCTGGTCTCTCAGAATATCTTTGTGCCAAGGATCGCCCAGTTGCATATTGTCTATAGTCGTCTGTGCTGTAATTATAATTGGAAATAATCATGACTCATTATGGTAAGACTTTCGGAGGTGTTAACTAACAGACTTTAACAGACAACTTTTGGAAATTATGAAAATCAGAATGGTAAAATACATAACGTACAGAAATTCACCATAATCGTTCGAAAGAAGAGATCCATGACCCGACAACATCAAATGAGCATGTTTAATCCAGGTTACAATTGTTTCGGCCCACCAATTCTTTTGAACTTTGATTATTCTTATGGCCTGACTTAAAATGAATTTCATTTAGGAATCCATCAACTGGGTTATTTAGAACTTCACTGAATATTCACGAGTGGACCTTGGATCTCATTGTCTCTAATAACCATTTAAGTTATTTTTTTAAAGTCCTGGGGGCAACCTCATTAGGAAAAATACAGCATGTGTATGGCATTTACAATTATAAGCTACCAGTTAAAGGAAAATAATGCTTAAGAAATATTTTTGAATTTGATCATTTTTTTTTAGAATTTGAACTATTTCTCAAACAACTTGAAAAAAACATGATAAAATGAGTTGTTATTCGTATATGAAACATGAGAATTACTTGTTTTCCTCTGCTTGGCGATCTCTTGGCGTGTCCTGGGACGTTCACCTGGCATCTGTGACACGCTGTCGGTAAAGATCATCTGGGGGTAACAAAACAGTGTTACAGTATGTAAATATGACATTCATTACCAGGTGACAGTGAATATTGTCAACCCGAGAAAACCATTGTCACCCGAGGCGAAGCCGAGGGTGACAATGGGTTTTTGAGGGTTGACAATATTCACTGTCATCTGCTAACGAATGTCATATCTATTTTGTTACACCAAAAGTCTTTGTAGCTCAGAAACGGCAGCAAACCTCGATAATGACATCTTGTTTGTTGATAGTCTGCTGTTTACGATCGCTATCGCACCGGCGCTTGATAAAATTGGCTGTTGCCGTCAAACGTTCTTGTGACCATCACGGTGGGGAAACGAAGCGGTGAACGCACATTTTTCGCGCATGTGATATTTTTCACTGTCTCATGGCAATATCACCCACGCCCCTTAAAACCAATGTATTTTTGGAGGGCGACAGAGATTTTTGTTTAATTTTCTCCCAACCAATCAAAAAGCTAGAAATTCACTTGAGGTGTAACAATATGTAATGTTATATAGAGGATATCAAAAGCAGGTCCTCCAATGAATACCAGATATATTTCATAAGTATAACAGAATACCATTAGGATTCATAAGTATAACAGAATACCAGATATATTTCATAAGTATAACAGAATACCATTATGATTCATAAGTGCAAACTCGTGAAAATTTTGGTTTATTTTGCCATACGATTGTAAATAAACAGTATTAAACGGAATAAAATTAATTATGAATTATCTATTCATAACATTTTTAAAAATGTACAGATGCAGCTTACAGCATTTAAAATGTAACTGTATAAACAAAAACATTGGCATGGTTACTTAAACTAGAACTGTATTGCCCTTTCAAAGTCATAAACATTTTTGATGTAACTTTAATTTTTATTATATTCCGATTACACTATATTTTCCCTGATGTGCCTGTGGTGTGACCTGTTACCTTCGGCTTCTCCTTGGCACTGGGTGTATACATGGCCTTGGACGCGGCGATCCTGTACTTAAACTCGGGCACGTACCATCCTGTGGTGGTCATATTCTCACTGTCAAAGAAGAGTCAGTATATCAGACACAAAAATCAAACACAGAATTACATCAGTGTGCTGTAAAGGGGGAAATATTCACTGCAGCTTTGCTTTTTTTCGCCCTCTATGATGGGGGTTAATTTGTCATTAAAACGAACATTAGTAAACATTATAAACATATTTATCAAAAACAAATGGCAAAATTAACACTGGGGGAACAAAGATGTTATCGGTGAAAAGCCAGAGTTTGACCAGGCGAGAGTTTGACTGGGCAAGAGTTTGACTGGGCAAGAGTTTGACCAGGCGAGAGTTTGACCAGGTGAGAGTTTGACCAGACTAAAGTTTGACCGGGCGAGTGTTTGACCAGGCGAGAGTTTGACCAGGCGAGCCAGGCAAGAGTTTGACTGGGCGAGAGTTTGACCGGGCGAGACTTTGACCAGGCAAGAGTTTGACTGGGCAATAGTTTGACCAGGTGAGAGTTTGACCAGTAAAGTTTGACCGGGCGAGTGTTTGACAAGGCGAGTGAGGCGAGAGTTTGACCAGGCGAGAGTTTGACCAGGTGAGAGTTTGACTGGGCAAGAGTTTGACCGGGCGAGAGTTTGACTAGGCAAGAGTTTGACTGGGCAAGAGTTTGACCGGGGCGAGAATTTGACTAGGCGAGAGTTTGACCGGGGCGAGAGTTTGACCAGGCGAGAGTTTGACTAGGCTAGAGTTTGACCGGGCGTGACTTTGACTGGGCGAGAGTTTCCTGGTATTGACTTGAATATTGTATATATGAGCAATTAACATTTTAACAAATGGTGTTGTTGTGCTGTAACATGCATTACTATTGCTGACAAAGTTACATAAATCCCTGTCAGGACTAAGTTTGTCATCAGTAGCAATGCATGTTAAATGAAATATCAGTCTAAGAATGAAATACAATAAACATGTGTGTGAAGTTTCATGACAATCGGATAAGAAATGAAGTCTGTAGAGCAGTGACATAGAGTATTTGATCAAATTTTATTTAAAGTAACAGCGACCTAGTTTTTGAATGCAGAAGGTTGAAATGCAAACTCATACAAAAGGTGATATTTGTTACATGTGCGTGAAGTTTTGTGACAATTGAATACGAAATGAAGTGTGTAGAGCGGTGATGCCGTTAGTCATCAATAGCAATGCATGCTTAATGAAATGTAATAGTTTGAAAATAAGCCTTTTGCAGCCAAGAATTGCAAATTTGTAATGTCAAAAAGAGTTCTACAGGCACCTTTCCCTTTTCGCTTTTTTTCTTTACCTATTTCGAAACTTTTCAGTAAAGACTTATATTTTCTAGTGACAATTTAAGGACACAATACCATTTGCTAAAAAACATTCACTGCTCAAGAAACTTTTCTCTCTTAATTTCCACATGTCCTTTCAGCAGCTGTAATCCTTACTTGTCCAGTTTCCACAGCATCATATAACCATCCACGTCCACAGTGACGAGCCGATTGATGTTGTCCACATATCCGATGAACATGATGATTGTCTTGTGTCGTCTCAGCAGCTCTGCCTCGACGCCCTTCCCTATTACATTAATACCTTCGAGCTCCTCCTGAAGACAGCCCAATCAATCCAGTTTTACAAATAATGCTAATTGTATGCAACTTTTCTAATTATAATCAAGTTATCAGGTACAATCGAATTAACAGCACTTTGCTAAAACTATTAACTCGGTTGGCAATTTGGAAAGGAAATTTTCCACTTTTCAATTTGCTTTATGGCGATTGAGATTAATAGAATCTCTCACCTCCTTGGGAGTGAGATGGGGAAATCTCAACCCGAGGGGGAAGATTCTTAAATTGTCAAACATGAGGCTTTGCCGCGTGTTTGTCAACTTAAGAATCTTTCCCCTTGGGTTGAGATTCCCCTATATTACCCTCAAGAGGGCGACTGATTCTTTTTCTCTTACCCAGTTCACCCATTGTGTCTCATATGCATATTAACCCTACAGGCTAAATTCAGGGTTGACGTGACGTCATTGTATTGTTGACGTGACCTTGTTATGAATAGGGGAATCCCCCCGTCCAAACCCTAGGGTGGGAAATCTCGTATCGGTTCAATTGTGGATACACCTGTCCAGGGTAAGAGAATAAATCTTCTCATTCTACTGTTTTATTTATTTGATCACTAAACTATATTAAAATTTGTGTATTTTTTCATGAAGATGACTACACTGATGCTTGTCCACAATTATGTTGGTGTGCGTGTTCGTGTGGTCTGCTCAAGCCGATTTGTTGTAGCGGCTAATTAGCATATGGTTTTGGTAAAATTGGTGTTGCTCATTTTTTCTACATCCCTTTGATGTTATTTCACGAATTCTTACTTGTGATCCTACAAAGTTCTTCTACATCCTCTACTACTTGTAAATTGTGATCTTTAAAGATAGGTCTTTCCTTTTGTACATAAAAATGTGTACATAAAAATTGTGCAATTTATATTCCGAAATGAAATTGATCTTACGAAGTTCATCTGGTTGATGATCTTTGGAGCCTCAGTAAAGTCAGTCGATGCGGAGCTACCTAGGGCGTATTCCAAATCCGCCTTCAGGACGTCTCCATTCTCCAGAGCAAGGCAAATCATGTTCTAGAAGTAAAAACAACATCATATTATGATGCATTTCTTCATAAACGGGATTAAATGAACAATCTAAAAGTATGTGGCTTCCCATCTTCGCTCGTCAAGTGTTTGCATCGTGTCCAATCCACTTACCGTTGGCGGACATATTAAGTGGAGTGTATACAAAGGCCAACACTTGGCTAGCAAAGATGGTGGCTTCTAAGTCAATTCCTTGGACACTTTTTTTTAAAAGGAGACTTCAATTCAGATTAAGGTTTGCAGAAATATTTTTACTGCTTTATATACATTTGAATACAATCCAAAAGCTCCAGCTTCCATGTCAATTCTCTTGAAGAAATTTCTCAAACATCCATCCTTATAAAGATTTGCAAAAAAAATTCATTCGATAAAGACAATGATAAACGTTCTATATATAGCATTTTGTAATAACTTGATGCTACTTGCGATGTTTTTGAGATGTCCTTGCATCATTTCTTTACCTGGATTCCAAAAAATGTAAAGCTTGGGTAAAAAGAGGCCACTGTGGGTGCGTAGCTCTGTGTTAGTGTTTCCTGCTCCACAAACGGTCCTAAAATGACAAAATTACAGTGTCACTTGTATCATGCTAATCCCCCCTAATTAGGAAGGAGACTCTCTCATTTTGACCAAAATTTACACACAAAACTCCCTCATTCAAGTCCAAACTCACACCAGCTCAAAATCTACATCCTGTGGTCAAACGATCTCCTAGTTACCGCAGGGTGTGTGTAATGACCATAACAGGTGTGTCTGAATCAAAGGAATTAATGCTTTTGGAGTTATCTTGATACATACAAAGGGAAAGATAAATTGAGCAAAGCAGTTTCAGTCCCGTTTCACGCGCTTTCTCCCTCATTTGAAATGTGGAATAAGAGATCTCCCTCATTGTAGGTTTCAGAGGTTGATGCCTATGGGAAACTGTCTTCTACTTCACATACAACTGTACATTGACAAGCAAACTGAAGTACTGGCCAACAAAACATTTCCTATGTCACATTAAATATTCGAGTCTTAAATATCAATGTTTGCATAAAGACGACACACTTATCATTTCCACCAGTGAAATTGGTTTCAAAAGTAGAATTTGGGTTTGAGTTTAAATTAGAACCTTCTACAGGACACAAGTACCAATTCTGAAATCAATCACTGCAAATGTTCTTAACTCATTCACCCCTGAAGACACATTTGAACTCTCCCAGTTCAAAGGCTGGTATAGTTCATTATGAAATTTTAGGGGTGAATGAGTTAAAGACCAACTGTAGAGAGCTAACAAATTCACAGTGCCTTATCGACTATGGTATATGTCCGTGTAGAGTGCAAGGGTAGCTACATGTATGTTTGTTATGTCATAAAATCTAACGGTTATAAGGAAGATTTAACTGAAAGATTATCAAGGTCATGGAAATGTTTTTAAGGAACCTGATGACAACCTAAACTTAACCTGGTAAAACAGAAAGATAATGACGGTCATGGAAATGTTTTCAACAAATCTGATTACAACCTTTATTCACCCTGGTAAAACAGAAAGATAATCAAGGTCATGGGAATGTTTTCAACAAACCTGATGACAACCTACTCACCCTGGTAAAACATGAAGTCATTCTCATCTACATCAAACTGAAACATCAGTCCAAGCTGTCTCGGGAGCTGGTCATGCGAGTCAGGTTGGATACCAAGACTCCGAGTGTCCGACTTCCTCAGTCCTCCGCCCAAGAATGACCACACATTGACCAGGCCCTGGACACAGAAAAACAATATCACAGTAATTTGTTTGTGACGTTATAATAAGAACCAATTACATAACGTGTCAGGGGTCAGTGTAATTTCCCTGTCATCTATTGTCTATCACTACTCAAAGATTGGTATTACTTTAGTGTGTAGGCTGTGAACGAGGTATATAATCAGGCTAATGAAGTGTTGACTGGGTGGACCGGTGGCACAGTGTATAGCACACTTGCCTTCACCAAGGCGGCTGAGGTTTGATTCCCTGATCAGGCGTGAAAAGGTATTATAGGGTCACCTGCCCGACCATGTGGGTTTTCTCTGGTTACACCAGTTTCCTCCCACATTAACATGTGCTAGAGCGCTAACATCTAGGCCAACAAGAGTGAATATAAAAATATAAGTAGTTTATTATATTAAAGTGTAGAATATACGTACTGATGCAGTTGTCGTGATGAGCCGGGAGTTGTCAAGACTCCAGGCTATATATAATATGGCGTCATTTCCTCCCTGGTTATTCACTATCACTTTGATCGGTCTCCATGGCACTGTCCACGTGTCATAAATCATACAGTCCCCTACAATAGGTCAACTATTATCAGGCCTCTGTGTTATGCATATTATCATAAGGCCCCTGTGTTATGCATATTACCATCAGGCCCCTGTGTTATGTATAATATTATCTGGCCTCTGTGTTATGCATATTATCATCAGGCCCCTGTGTTATGCATATTACATCAGGCCCCTGTGTTATGCATACTATTAGCAGGCCCCTGTGTTATACATACTATGATCAGGCCCCTGTGATTATAAGGTAAACAGTACAACATTTCACATAGAAGACCACAGGCCTCTGTGACACACACTATAAGTGTACTGAGTGTTGGATTATATTAGGTCAAATCTAGAAACTGATTTTGGAAAAAGTATTGTTGGCAGTTATCTGGTGCAATGGTATGCACCCTCGCCTTACAACAATGCAGCACTGTCAAATACAGACTAATTTGAGGTATTGTCACGCACATGTATGTATGAATAACCAGAACCCCTTTATTCTTTCCTTCCATTTTCACTGCAAGGGGATCATTAAGGTCTCTGATCATCATAGCTCTACAGTTTTCAAATTTTTCAAGTTTTAATTCAAGTCTGGAATTAGAAGTCGGCTTGTATATTGTAATGACAAACTCCTTACCATGAATGGTTCCCACCGCTAGGAAGCGTTGATTCGGGGACCGAGACATGGACAGCACTCCTCCACATCTTTTTGGAAGGTTTATTCGATCTAGGGTCGCATTTACCCTCTGTTGGTAACAAATAATCTCTTTTCATTTAAAACGTCACAACTAAGATTCATCCATTTTGAAATATATGTAGGTATCAAAGTTTTTATATTTACATACACAATCTCAAGGGGTCGGGGTGGTTGCAGATTCAATGTTACTTTTAAGTTAAAAAATCGAGTGCAATTCAGACGACTACCGAATGTGGATACTTGAAGTATCTAGGTATTAAACCAGTAGTTTCTTTATAAGCACTCTATCAATAGATGAAATGTCCCATAGTCAAGCAACAATACACAGTTGACAATTTTGCCACATCACTGTACAGGTAAACAATACAAATCACTCATTCCGTCAAAGCAATTGACAAAGGGATCAATTGATCTTTAAAGATTGAGACATATGTTTGATACGTAAATTGTTTGTGTAAAAGTTAAAAGCTTAGATACAAAGTGTTAATTCCTTGAGGATGTTCAGATAGGGGCAATATGAGAAGAGTTTGAACAAGGTACATTGCCAAAATCTCTGAGCTCTCCAATGTTCTGAGCCAGGTCATGATAAAAATATCAGTAATGTTTGGATGGTCGGTAGGAGAAGTGGATAGTGCACTCGTATTTCACCAAGGGGGCCAGGGTTCAATTCATCACAGGACATGAAAAAGTAACCAGGGGTCACCTGGCTGCCTGACTAAGTAGGTTTTTTTCTAGGTACTCCAGTAAGAACCCCTGAACATAACCATCCACAGGCCAATAAGAGTGATTGATATAAGTTGATATAATTTGTTTCACAATCATTGCATAATGAATTAAGTTTGATTTAAAATCGGTAATTTTTAAACAAAGGATGATACAGAGAAGCCCCTCAAACTACCAAATTAATGTAGTATTAATGTAGTATTAATGTAGTATTAATTCCCTCTCCATAATGAACTTCATGTTTTTCTTACTCGTTGTTCTATTATTCTGTACCAATTAAAATTCCCGTAAACAAGCCATCTAGATTGATATGTTTCGCCTGTGCTCCACTTTAACCAGCAAGGCACATACATATCAGAGAAACTAATTGCAAAGCAAAAACTTAGCGTTGATGGAGATGCTGGCAAAGTCAATGGACCATAAGAGGTAGACTGCATCCAGCATTTGATGCATGGGTTGAGATGTACTACCTAAGATGCATCTTTAATCGTCCAAGTTTGGTTGGTGTAGTACTCTTATACTTTCAGTGAAACTAAATTCAACGCAAAAACTTAATGTTGACGCTGCCGTCGCCGGAAAAGCAACATCTTAGTCTCGCTTCCCTAGCTACTTCGTGGCGGCAAGACAAAAAAGGCCTCTGTGCTTTTCTTCAAACTGTTTACACCGAAGAGGAAGCCCTGAATTAAATTTCTGTACTCACCGACCAGTATTCCACATCCTTAGTCATATATGTCTGATAAAGGCGTTTATTTTGCTTGATGTCTGGTGTGTCGGTGCGAACTGGGTCATATATTCTAATATCTACCGGGATGATTTGATGATACTCTAGTACTACAACGTCTGGGTCCTCCTCGTCATCCCTACAATATATCACCATAGTTAGTAAATCTGGCATATTGACACAATTTATATGATGATATGTAATAGAAAGTTTTAACAAATTTTAAGGCCAAATTGAATGTTTCTTAATCTTACCAAAACAGAATGCTACCAATTGTTTTACCTGTGACAAGACTATGTCTGTGATTCCAAGTTCTATAAAAGGCTGTAAACCAAAACCAAAAACACAACAAAACTACATTTCGATATTCAGGACATCAAACTGATATAAACTATAACAAATTTGGTTTAAAACAAGAGGCCCATGGGCCTTAACGGTCACCTGAGTCTAGTATTTATTTTTGTTGTTGAAATATGTACCAATTTGAGTAAAAAATAGTATAATGTTAACTTAACTTTGTCAGGACCATGAGCTGATCATTCCTAGACCAATTTTAAGTGAGATCGGCCTATTAGAACTTAGTAGCAAAATAGCGGCCATGGCAGCCAAATTGTATTTCTGATTGACCCGAAAAATAACAACACTTTGTCAGGACCATGAGGCGATCATTCCTATCAACTTACAGTTCAATCGGCCCAGCAGAACTTGACTTTAAGTTTGAAATGTAAAATGTTAACGGACGACGGACGACGGACGACGGACGACGGACGACGACGGACGAAAACGGATAGCAATAGGTCACTTGAGCTAAAGCTCAGGTGACCTAAAAAGTCAAATAGAAATATAATATGAGGAAACCTCCCTGACCCACCCTAAATTTTTCTACCACAGACATATTTTTTGTGATTTTCATATTCAGGACATCAAACTGGTGTAATCTAAACCAGATTTTGATAAAAAAAATAAAAATGCTGAAAACCCTTCATTTCACCATAATTTCTCTACCCCAGACTTAATGTTTATCAGTCATATATATAGCACAACACATTGAAGTAAATTAAAAGAAAATTAATGAAAAAGAGTTTGTCAGAAAAAAATTGATGGGTGCCTTCATTTCATCATGGACTTCATATTACCATATACTACATTGAACACTGGTAATATGTTGTGCCTGATTTAGCCAATGTCTACCACATTTCCAAGTAGCTGTTGGGAAATAGATAGTGTTTGTTTTTTATGTTATCGGCAATCATATACATATGTCTCCCATTTAGTTAAGATAACTTTCTCTCTACTGTGCATATACACAACATAATAGATACTGGCGGTGCAACACACATGATGCCTATCCTCCCGACAACAAGCCTTCCTACCATCGTTACGGTGCATTGCGTGCAAGGAAGCTGGCAAGCAAGTCTTTTTGACTAGAATTGTTATCAACCTTATGGGCACACAGTGATTTATCTAACATTGAATGTGTCAACTACAGTCACAAATACTGTCATAAAACTCGTTAGATACACATTTAAAACAAATAAAAATATATCAAAATTTTAAATTTAAAAAAAAAATTAAAAAAATATTGTCATTAAAATTCAATTTTACCCTTTTATCCAAGTAATTTTTACATGTTGCTGCAAATTATTAATCTATATAAATGTGTCTTGCATGAGTTTCTGTTTCATATAAGATTGATGATATGTGTCTAAGATTTTTTTTATTCTAGCGATCCCATAGTGAACTAAGATTAAAGTGAAATATACATAACAATTTTTCATCAATCTTAAATGATCACTGCGAAAACATACATTTTTCGGAAGCATAAAATTCCACCATTTTGGTTCCATATGGAACATTTGTCTCCATAATGTGACGTCATAATATCATCTGGCAGCCTGTGACAATGTTACATTATCCTTTTATGACGTCACAACAGGTATTTTTTTTTTATATTTTCTTATAAATTCATAATAAATGTAACTAAATACTGATTTTAATTGAACTTTTTCTTACATTTGCTAGCAACTTACAGACTTTCATACTAATCACAAAGGTCTTTGCTAAATATCAATATTCCATAAAAATAAAAATAAAAATAAAAATTTAAATCTAACATTAAAAAAATCTAAACTAAAAAAAACAAAAATCTACATATTATTTAAATCATGCTGATTTCAATTAATAATGATGTAAACATGAAGAGGATCTCAAAATTTATATTTCAATTGAATGTTGTGAAATTATTTATTTAGCCAGGTATATACCATTCAGTGAATGAATACAAAAATAATGGTTTGTTATTTACAGAGATTCATTTACATTTTTTAATGACACCCATTCCTTAGATTCTGGTTAAATAGAATGGATATTTACATGTGATTACAGAAAAAAAATCTACAAAACCATCCTGTACATGAAAGAAAATATGAAAAAAACATATTCTAAAATCATCTCTATAAGATGGAAAATACATATTTTTTAAATGTTATGATACCTACAAAAATATCAAAAACAAATACATAAATATTATTATAACTTTTATCATATCATAACTTATGCATGCTATTTCTTGTGATGTCTAAGTTATACTTCTATAATAGCTGATGGCAAAGGGAGACTACATAATTACCTCCCCTTAAAATCAGATATATTTTGATATACATAAAAGGGAACTAATCCAGTAGTGTCCTTTATAATGCCTCATGTATACCGAGATATATGTTGGAAACTAAGGGAGACTATTCAAATTACCTCCCTTTAATTACAAATTACCTCCCTTTGATTAAAAATCTATTTTGAGTCTTCATCAAGGGAAGTAATCCAGTACTGTCCTATAGTGCTAGCTATTACATTAAATACTTTACCTCCTCTTCAAAATCGCCTCCCACTGCCAAATCATCAAACAAGTGATCATGAAGATAACATGTTATTACGTAGTGTACACATTAGATCTCTCGCCTTGTCAGCTTTTATATTCAGTTGTATGTTTCAAACATGACATTATATTCAAATTTGTTTGATTATGACATCATTCACCGACATTTTCTCTGCCAGGACGTCATAATTAAATGCGTTTTAATGTAACCAAAGGACAAAACAACACAAATTTTGGCATAATATTTGTCATTTTTTGTCACAATAAAACTTTTTTTATTTTCAACATGATAACAAATTGTCTGACATGTGGCGATCAATCAATCAATCAGTGATGCTGTGTCAATGAATACAAAGCATTAGCATTGGCCGAGAAAACATATCTCTTTGTTTCAAATTACCGTTGCCAGGTTGCAACCTTTGAAAATCTTAAATAGATATAAATGCAGGTAGGTGAAACACCTTATGAGTCTTGGATCCCTGGTAGGTAAATTTAGGCAGTAAGGATATCTTACATATCAAGTAACATTTACAGGGACTTGATAGATGTTCTCAATGCCAAAAATGGAAATGGAAAGAACAGATATATACTGGAAGGGTTTTAGTAATCAAATATATTGTTTCATTTGACCTTTTTCAAATCCATGCAAAATTTATATATTTTTTAGTCTTAAGCAGTTTTACTTGAGAATCTTTCATTTCATGCCAAAGAAAAATACACTAAAATCTTATGATTTTAAACTAAAAATCAATAATAAACCAGACTAACAAGCATACATAGGTTGACACTTGCTTAGCTCAAAACTCAATTATCTCGATTATAGCAGTCCAGAAAATAAATATTCCTGATTGCAGTATTTTGGAGCAGATAAATCTTGCTGTATTGTTCAAGGAAACAAATATAGTTATCTTATTGTGTACGGTGTATAGTTCACAGAAGTAACAATAGACACTATTTCAGATTAACAATGCAAAAGGTTCAAACGCCAACAATATCAACTGTTATATTTACTTCACACTTTATTTATTAAACATAAAACCAAGCTCGTGCCGACACACACAAATGACACTATATTCTGTGAAGTGAATCAACTGTAAAGTCGGTGCTGCTTTTGTTATCAAGCATGCCAGATTTTTATTTTCATTTTTTTGTGTCACTATTAACGACAGCGCAGCACTAAATGTCTTTGTGAAAATCTTATATAACTTGCTTTAAACCTTTGAAAGAAATTTCAAGTATTGAAAAATCAAGAAGTCTACAATTTGTTGAATAATCAAACGACCTAAAGTTCATTAAGCCACCCAATTGAAATTTCATTCAGTACCACACAATGAAAGTGTGATCGCCTTAAAGTCTCCATAGTCTCAATTTCAACAAAGTAGAATCAAAACATATACTCATAGGCCATGCTGGTAGCTTAAGTTTGTCTTTGTCAAACTATTTTTCATTTGATTTAGTTGAATTCTCTTACATCTAAAATTACTGCAAACAATTTAGTAACATTTTGTGAATTACAACTACACATGTTATCTTCTTTCTCAAATTATGAAAATCTCAATTATGAAATATATGCAAAAAAAAATTGGTAGGTATTGAAGATAATTTAGGATTGTAGTATACAATTGAAATATCTTTTGAAAAGGATTAATATCTTTAAATTTTACTTTTCTTTTACGTATGCATATGTGTGTATTGAATTATGTCATAATGTATGTCCACGTTATTGATGAAGTGATTGATAGTACTTTTAAAATAAATCATAATCTTCTAAAGAAGTGAGAAACCGCAAAATGCCTAGAGTGAAGGTGTAAGCTACAACTGTAGAAGAAATTAGTTAGCTTATTAGTACCATCTGCTTCATTTGAATCTCTTCAGATGTTTCACTGCAGAGCTTTAAAAGAAACAGAAAGTATTTTTAAGCTGTCTTTGTAACAGTTGATATATCTATATGCAATATGCATGCTTTTGAATTTTTATGCAAGCCAGAAGCAGGTTTGCAAGTGAATTGATGCATCCAGTCAATCAACAAATACTTAACCGATTATTTTATGATTTTTTTCTAATATGAAAGCTATATTNATGTAAGCAATTTTCCCACCAATTTATAAATTTGCATTTCTTGTTGTTTCATCAATAGTACTCTAAGCAATTGTTTAAGCCAAAACTGAAAAATTAAAAATTAAATTATTTTGCAACATAAAAGTTTTAGTGATGTATAGTTATGCATCACATCAACACAAAATAGACTGTGACATTAATCCTATCTCAAAGATTGGGTACCTTGATACTCTCCTGCGCCTTTCCCTTAAACTTAGTAAATTTAACACAACACAAAAGGGTGAACAACATTCCAAAACAAAAGGGGTGAGGAACTTACCTATCTTCTTCTTCCTCCACTTCTTCCTTCTTCTTCTTTTCAGGTTTTTTCTTTTTGATGCGTTGTGGTGGCGCCTTCGCTGTGAATGGCTGGGAGTGACCCCACAGCTCCATTCTGTTTGGGTCAAATCACAGGTTAACTCATTAACCCCTAAAGACTCATTTGAACTCATCCAATTCAAAGGTTGGAACAGTTCATTATGAAAATTCAGGGATGAAAGGGTTAGTTTACATAAATTTTCAAAGAGTACAATGTATTTTTAATATATATAGTTAAAAGAAATATTTTTTCCTGATTCATGTTCCTCTAGTTATGAAGAAAAAGTGGTATTAAAGTGATTTTATATCCTGATATTGATGCTGGAAGATAATCTTGATCCAGGGTCATACAATAATATAAGACAAGCAATCTCATATTCTACCGCCACTGTACCCAAATCGGGACACTTGCGGGAAAATTGTCATTCAGGGCAAAGAAGTACTTTAATGTATACAGTTTTCATTTGATAATACTTTTCATGACAATTAAACTGTATTAAGCTTTATTGGCTGCTGATTATCGTGACATGAACAATTTAAAGGTAAGAATAATTACCAAAACAAGACTTTCCTGATTTACGTGCCGTACATGTGACGGTATTTATTTATATATCGTTTTCAAAAGTCCCTTTTTTCAAAACTAATGCTAGTTTGGAGAAGAAATTTAATCAGAACCCTATTTGACTCTAAAATATTACAACTATGCATATTTTCTGCCGATATTGATCGTTTATCTCCAAATATTTGCCAAAATACTGGAAGTGTCCCTTCCAGGATACAATAATGCCGGTTCAACGGCCCACGTAGCTCTGATGGTATTCGCATTCTTTTCAAAGAACCATGCACTCGAAATATAGTTAATAGTATCTTTTTATGAAAAATTAAAAAACATTTTTGGAACTGATAGTATGGTATAAAGAACATTGATATTTATTTAATAAGTGTCACGATTTGGGTACAGTGACGTTAATTCACTCTGTTTGTTACACCTTTTCTGATTGGACAAAAAGAATACTTGTGGGAGTATAATCATGATGCCTTCCAGAAATTGGGTTTTGCCTGCTTCATGAAAGAAGTGTATTCCAACTTGTTGGAGAAAATTGAATTTTAGTAAAAGTATATAAGGAATCAGTCGTCTTTGACGGATTGATGCCATATGGTTTTAAATTGATAAAGTTATAGTAACTGGAAAATATATATCTCTTGTCCAGTTCAAAATCAAAGGATCATGCTTATAACAGGAGCGATATAATTTGTAATGAAACAACTGATAAATCTGCTTAACGGAAAATACTGTTTCTATTTTAAGTAACTGCAATCAGAAAATGTTTTTGCAAATGAATGTTAACTAGAATAGGGATAAAACCTATTGTATTTCAACGCTTGTCAACAGTAAAACTCAATTTGTAACAGTTTAAAAACAATATACCAAAGCAATTGTCATGCAGCAGGGTTACCCCCTAAATCAATATCCTAAAAATTCATAAAGACACTTTAGGAAAATTCAGTATTAAATCTCTTACAAAGCCCGACTAGAAAGCTTATAAAGGTTTTAATAGGCCTACCTCTGTCGATTCCTTTGTTGCTGGTAGCCGAAGAATGTCTTTGTCACCATACTGTAGCCCTGGTCATTGGGTTGTCTCCCCTGATCTTCGCCGATAACTATAGCCTAAAACAATGTTGGTTTAAACAATATTTTATTTCACTCGTCATATATAACGAGTACACAGGTAAATAGGAATAGGATCAGGCAACAAGATTTTAAATCTTATATAAAGCCGTCTCCCTAAAACAATGTTATGTCATAGGGAATCTAGGTAAAAAATCTGTTATATCTTGTACTTATTGATCTGATATTAAGCTTAGTGAGTCAATCATAGTAATACAACAACGGTAAACAGTCCTGTTCCATTCCGCCATGACCATTTGTTCTGTTTCTAAAAAGCATATCATTTTGTACAATAAATAGTGTCAATTAACGTCGTCAAAATATATGTAAATCACTGAAATGCGTTTTTCCATTCTTTTTCCATTCATTCTAGATCATTAAGAATATGTTGAACTGGCACTATTTTCCTGTTAGGAGTTTGTTATAAAAATATCTATTTTCATTCCAGGTATTTAGTCATGATAATGACCTACACAAACAGTGTTTCTAAATATTCCGCACTCGAAAACATGATTTATTTTAAAAGCAATAGCAAAATGGGCCACACATACAGCTGGTGTCTAAAATTGTTTCTTGAAATGAAAAACAAACTAAAAATGATCAACCTAAACTTACATCTTTGCCATTAACTTACCGTCGATAAAAGATGTTTCACTAAAGCTTGCAATTATTCTTCTCAAGTAAACAAAGAATGTTTCTCCATCACATACAGGGGCAATTAGTATTATAGCTGCGAGAAACTTAGCTTCTAGACCCGATTTTTTTTTTTTTTTTTTTAAATTATCGAACCATAGAGCTACAGTATTCATAGTGTAAAAAATTTGCAATTTTAGCGACTTCGACTGAGGTTGGGAAACAAGTCAACATATGGCGACTTTCCTACCATGAATTTTCACTTATGAAACATCGTTGTCTCCACTGTGGACCAAAAAATTAAAAATTAAAACAATCGGGCCTTGAAGCTACGGTTCCCACAGTTATAAGTATTTAAGGTCCTCGTATATCATCAATACAATGATAAAACTACATCAATTAATCTGTAGCAAACGCATAACTTAGAAATTATTTTTGTTTTCTTTGTACCTCAGTTCTACTCATCACTTCCTTGAAGGCCATGTTCCTGACCATTCCGTATGTATGCTTCTGTTCATCTACAGCCTCCTGTGTCAAGTCACTCGTCACCTGTCCACAGAGAAAACATCCATCATTTCCACATTAGGTTATATATTATGATTTCTGGTTTATCTAGAATTTCAATCTTTTGTTTAAAGTACGCATCATTTTAGTCGAAATTGAAAGATGCCCTGTCATGACATGATATCATTTGACTGTTTGGCAGTTGAGCAATAAAGCACCAAAAAGATTAAATTACAGGTAGGCAAAAATTTCATTTCTTTTATAAGGTAATTGTGTTCATGAAACTGTTCTGGTGCTTAAAAAACTGATTCTGTGCTCAAACCTGCTTTCTTATAATTTGCTTAAATCACGGGACAGGGTCAAAAGTCAAACCCAGATACTGAAAACTGTATTCAGCTTTAACACACTCTACAATTTTTACAAATATTTGACAATATGTGAATTTTTATTAATTTATCACCTGATAAAGAATTTGGACTTGAGCACAGAATCTGAGATTGAGCATGAGAACGGTTTCATGAATATGGGCACAGGTGTCTTCAACCTAGCTTTTGATGCCATAATGTCTTGTAATAGACTATAGCCATGTCATGACATATACAGATCCTAGCCAGGTTGTCAAGGTGATAGTTACAAACACTGGTTATGTTGTCATACTGACCTATTCAGACTCAACCTACATTGTCGTGGTGATATCTACAGACCCTAGCCATGTTGTCATGGAGATATCTACAGACCCTAGGCTTGTTGTCATGGTGATAGTTACAAACTCTGGTCATGTTGTCATGTACTCCTATAACATAAGAGGCCGCTGGTCGGCCTTTATTCTATTGGATATGATTTTGCTGACTGCAACGGCGCCTGTCAAAAGTATCTCGCCGTGTAAACCTCCAACACAGCTATACAGACCCTAGCTGCGTTGTCGTGGTGATAACTACAGATCATAGCCATGTCCTCATGGTGACTTACATCTAGTACAAGTTCTTCCATGATGAGCTGGACTGCTTTCCTTTCTGACAGAGAGATGGCTGCCTTCTCCAGGTCCTTGCTGTCCTTTTCTACCAATGCCCTGTACATAAACCCACGATTAGAAACTATGTATAAACAGGTGTAAGTGACTGATCTCTCCCCATGTTAACTCTACCAAAACCTCTCAAAAAACCTCCAGATGAAAAGTTAAGTTTTAAAGCTAAAATCACTTCCCTAATTACAAGGTAATAATCTCATTAATATTTTAACCCATCTTTTATAAGTTAATTTTCAAATTGACACTCAGTTAACCTCTCACAAAATCTCCCAGTCAAGACACTTTGTGTTAAATCTTCCTAAAGCTTTTCGAATCACTAATAAATCATTTTATCCATAAAAAAGTATGTAACACAAATAAGATAAACTTGATAAGTAGCCATCACTACTTGGTGAACCTTTGTAAGAAAACACTTTAAAGATCCCTGTCCCACTGCACTGCGGCTTTTCCTATGCGCAGTAACCTCCCCTTAACATCTGTTTGGATAAGACTGTAGCACAGTTTGGCCAGAACACTTCCATTAACCGGATAGCTCAATCAACGGTTGAGTGCAATAGTATTATAATCTGAAGTCAGGGGTTCAAATCCTGGTCTAGCCCCAATAACGTTTTACACTCCGAACACTGTTGTTGATTATATTGTGTATATTTCATCTTTATTATTTCTCATAAAAGTCCTGCAAGATATGGTTTTCTTTTTAGAAATTAACTATTAAAGCCAGAGTCATGCTGGAAAAACAGTTTCCAATACTTATGTTACAATTTCTGGCTGTAAGACGAGGATCGTTAGGGTAGAAACAATTTGTGTTACTGTGTCATTAGGCAATACATGTTGTTTACTTACGTGTAGGCCTCCTTCTCTACCAGAGGAATGGCTGGCTTAAAGTAAGAGTCCAAGAATGATGTCACAACGTCATCCAGGATAGTCCTCACCTGTTTACAGACAAAACAAATTATATTAATTCTTGTCAAAGTGTTTTTCCATGGTATTTTAGGAAATACATATTCATACGTTTTGTATTTGGAAATTGACTTAACATGAAATCACAATTGTTAAAATTCAAATCTTTTTCATATCATGAGTAAGAAAATAAAGCTATTTTACTAGATAACGTTTTTCTATCAAAAGCCCAGCTTTTAGGATGAAATATTAAAATGATTTTTGGAAAAAAAAAAAAAAAAGTTTTATGATTGGAAATTTATAAATTTCCTTCCAAAAAGAAAAGCAATGCTACATGTATTTTAAATACATTGGTGTCATCTGGCACACCCATCCTGTAAACTCCAAGGGTTACTCTCACTAACATTATCCAACACCCCTAGAATATATCTTGACAAAATTAAAGGCTCTGTATGGGCCAACTTGTACCTGTCAACTTTCAGAAATTCAAATTGAGGAGAAAAAAAGCATGAACAACATTTTTGGGCATGTTTTTTTTCTTTTGATGTACATCAAACGAATCAACTAGCACACCAAAAGGAAAATTGTGGTCAAAAGTGTTGTTCATGGAATATTGAGCTTTGAATTCAGGTTTCTCTCCTCTGTAATCTTCAAAGGAAAGGTATCTGCCTAGAAATTTGTCAGTTTTTTATACCTGAAACCAATCAAATAGCTAACTTTGTGCTTTGATTTTGTCATGACATATACCAGGGGTGCAGAGAATGCAAATGAGCACAGCCCTTGGAATCTCAAGGATGCTGGCACACCTAAATATATATAAGCAGAAAAACAAATGGGTCATATATATACATGTAAGAAAACAAGGCGACATGGATTTATACCGTAACAAACTATTAAACATGATCAACAGATAAGAAAGTTGATTTGTGATTAAACTACAAAGCCCGACTCACAAGGAAGTAGTGTTCTATCTGGTTTGGTTTGTAGGACTGGATACCCATCTCGCCGCGGTACGGCCGCTTGTATTTCTCGTAATGTTGCTGGACGTCCTGTCTGTAATACAAGATCAGAGTATATACTGAAAACAATTGATATTGGTGTCAGGAGCGATCAGAAGTAATTTAACTCATTCCTCCCCTGCAGACACATTTGAACCCTTCCAATTCAAAGGTTGGAGTAGTTCATTATGAAATTTCAGGGGTGAATGAGTTAAGGTAATATTATAATTATAATAGAACACCTTTATTGGTAACATTTTGTCTACAAGTCATTTAATCAAACACCAAATAAACGCTCAAGTCCTTTTCCATCTTACAAATGGATTTTTATATATTAGGTATGACTGTACAAAGTTATTCAAATTTATATATAAAAAGAAAAAAAAATCCTTTTTTTTTTTTTATAAATTTGACAACTGGATTTTTATATGTTTGAGTGTACAAAGTTATTCAAATTTATATTTCACGTTTGAAAATGTTTTTAAGATTTTATTTCATACTTCTTTTTTAATTCTAGGTCTAAAGGTTCTTCAGGAAAGGAATTTGAATTTTTCAATAAACATCACTAGTGTGACCTTGAAAGTGGGTGCAGATCATTCAATTGTACAAAACTGATCAGGTGCCTTGCCAAATTTAAGAAACAAAACAAGCTGATCTTTATTCGTATTAATATTTCCTTCACCCTTTCTTTCTATCCCTAAGACTTGCAAAGTGATCGTATTTCATGTCATATTTTCCCAATTAATCTTAAATTCCTTACTTATAGTCAAGTCTATATTTCTTTGTGAATGGCTGTTCTACACAGGACATCTAGGTCTTAATATTTCATGTATATATATATATGAAAAAATGTACTAAAGTCAGCACAAACAATTAGGAAAGGTAATAGAAAGAAATACCTCAAACGCATAATTTTGTCGACAGTTTTTGGGAGAGTTTTGATCGTATCCTTGATGGTGTCATCCACACTGTGTACGGCCCTGTCCGGTGTCACCATACTGAGACGGGAGTAGGGCGTCGACCCAGACCCGCCCCCTCTAAAGGGGATGTCAGGAGCACTCAGGACCGAGTCTACAGGAAAATACAGAAAATATATATAAATTATTTCATTAATGAATGGCATTTTTAAAACAAACATAAAAAGTACGAACATAGACAAGGGTTCCCCAATATTCTAATGCTCATCATATTTAAGCACGATTTATTAAAATATACATATAATTAGTAAACACAGTGCCTGAAGGTTTTATATTATATTTATTCAATTCTTTCATTTTTTTATTTTTCATCAAATATTCTAAAATAAAAATACCACTAAACTTTGTAAGATTACAGTAATTAAATTGCAGGTTTTCAGAGATTTCTTAGTTTATTAACAGGGAAATATCATTATATACATATTCAGGAAATCCTGTTCTTATCATGCCAGATGAAACATGTATAGTGAGTTCATAAAGGAAAATGATTGTGTACAGTATAAGAAAGTGATTTAGTACAAATGAAATCATTTTTGAATAAGGAGATTTTTCTAATCCAAGTAATCAATTATTTCAATCAATCAATCAATCAATCAATCAATACTAGTTTATTAGAGTGTCACACGATATATATATACAGATCAATACAGTCATATGGTAATCTAAAAACTATACATTGTCCAACCAATTTCGGCTTAAGAGACACTATAGTCATTAAAATACAATTAACAGTTAGATTTACATAAAATAAGACATGATTATTGCATTATAAAATATTACCAGGATAACTGTTCTTTCTTTTAAATATAAAATATGCTGATTTGGCTATATTGCAGCTCAGGTTCATTCATAAGATGTAAAAAATTATCACAAGAGTTCATTGTCAAAAAAGATTTAAAATAAAAGTGCTACTTGATAAAAATGTAACATATGTATATCACTATTCAGTAGAAGAACAAACCAAATCAAATGAAGAAATCTTTTAAAAACACACAAAGATCAATTCAAATCAATTAACATTGATAAACTTTGATAAGTTTAATTAATGACCAAATATGTGTAATTACTGATTTTTATGTAAACTCAGTGCATTACTAACAGCAAAAAGTAGACGGGGTCCTTATTATCACAATTATGACCTAGGCTGAGTTTCCTCTGGCCCTGACACCAGACTATGTCATTTTGACAGATAGATGTCTGGTGTGGCCCGAGTTCCCTCTGACACCAGACTATGTCATTTTGACAGATGGATGTCTGGTGTGGCCCGAGTTTCCTCTGACACCAGACTGTGTCATTTTGACAAATAGATGTCTGGTGTGGCCTTGACCCAACCTCCTCCGTTAACTGTGAACGATTTTTAAATTTTATCACAGGTGTGCCAAACCATTTGGTATAAGGCAGAGCTTTGTCAAGGTAATTTACATAAGGGAATAATTTATATACACATATATAACACTCAGGTGTTAGGTAATGATATACGTCACCTTATTTCAAAAGTTAACTTGTCAAACTACAAATATCAATAATGGTAATATACATAGCATTAACAAAAAACACAAAATAAATCTGGCAGATGATTTCATGCAATTGCAATTCAAACAGATTTCTAAGTTAATGTATTAGGTTCTAACATGAAAACACAACATAAGCTAAGAATTTTAGCAATATCAAATAAAAAGGGGCTCACAAACAAATATATTTGGTTAACATGAATGTTAGTAATATGTAGTTCAATTGCACCCCTCAGAAAAGCTGGTCCAGTGTTCACATCAATGAAAAGGTGGGTTCATTATACAAATGAAGGGTAGAACATTTTCAGTTGGCATAAATGAATGGTTTATAAAATATGTAAAATCCCCAATCTTAATTATTAGATTATATAGATATAAATGTATTGAAATGACATGAATTATATACAAATAAGTAAAAAAATGAAAAAGGAATATCAAAATGGTATTGCGTATTTATGAATACTATTGCCTCTATTTAGTTTGTTCGGCCTTAATTTTGAACTCTTTATATAAAATGATTGGCAATGCTACAAGATTTAAACAAATATTCCGGCCTAAAGATGAAATCTGTTTACCATGACAATAAAATTACTTTACATACATATCTAGTGTGAACGTGTTCCTGACTTTCAAAAGAACGGGTATTATAAACGGTATGAAAGGAACAGGATGTCTTTTCCTGCTGCCCAGCAGACCATGCCATAGGTCCTTTAAATCAATTTCTATACATGATATTCTTTTATTAAAAGGCATGGCGGCTGTTTGGGTGTGAATACCACTTTTGATAATAAATGAACAAATCAAATCTGATTTCAATTCGTCAATTTTTCACACATACCATTAACAATATAAACGGTATTGAAAATTCTTTTCTAAATTTTATCTATACATCAAATAAAGACAAGATATATCATCTGATTATTATTGATCTTTGTGTGAAATAGTTTAGTGTATATGTATTAAAAAGTTATTTAAAATAGTTTATAAATGATTTGCTGGAATAGTTAGTCCTTTACATCTAAATTTATTGAACTGTTTGTGTTTGTTAAAGAAACACACAGAATTTAAATTTTATAATAGAACAGTACAAATAAAAATGTTAAGGGGGGATTTTTTTATTTTCTTCAAAAATATACAACTTTATTGAGTATTCTCATTCCTGTTACATAGTATAACATATTTTAAAATGAAAAATAAAGTAAAACAAACAAAATTTAATTAATAAAACAAATAATTTATTAACACAGAATGATCTAAGACAATCACCAATCAGCACTCCTATGTAAATAAATGTAGAATTCAAACAGTAGCTTTATTATTTGCTTTAAATTAACATATTCTTATTGTCTTAATACAAAATATGAATTAAGCTAGGAATTCAGGTGGCAGTAATTCAAGAGAAGAACTTTTTTAAAAATATAACCATGGTTACCATGCATAAGTGCTTTTTAAAAAGTAGTAGTAGCACAAGTTAATTTTTTCTTGTTAATTTTCTTTTAATGAGTTATGAAACAGTATGTCATCAATATTGTAATATTCAACAGATTTGTTTTTCACAAATAGACACAACGTTCACTTGCCCACAAACCAAACCTATTAACTCATTCACCCCTAGAGACACATTTGAACTCTTCCAATTCAAAGGTGGGAATAGTTCATTATGAAATTTCAGGAGTGAAAAGTGGCACTTCTATGTACCAGCACTACTGTGTACCATGGTACAACGGTAAATATATGCTTATGGCCATTGTACCAAGGGTTTTTTCTTGCCTAGAATAACCATGGAAGTAAAAATGATTATGCGAAGAGTGAATCATGTCTCGGGACCAAAAACTCATCTAATGAGTATTTGTTTTCGGCATATTTTCTATGAGGATTCTAGCATACTCTTGGAATGATCGAGCACTTGTTCTAGTACCTAATATATACATGCACACTATATAAAACACTAACTTCTGTAAATTGAAAGTGTACAATTTGATATTCAGCGTACAATGTCACAGGCGGATTAAACCATATTTTTATAGTAAACATTGAAAAAAAATCCCAGCCCTGAGTTTTGATCATTTAATATTTCTGTTGGGAATGCACATTTCTATCAGGAATGGTCATTGTTAATGCATTTAATATTAATTCATTCACCCCTGAAATTTCATAACAAACTATTCCAACCTTTGAAATGGAAGAGTTCAAATGTGTTTTCAGGGGGAGATGAGTTAATTGAACACTTATAAATGTCAATGATTATCAACACAGGAACAATGAATTCATTGTTTTCAATATCCATTCTGAAGATGGAGGCAAACATGCAATGTTATTTATAAAAAATAAATTCTATGTGAATCAAAGATAAGGCAGTAAGTCCCAGCACTTTGTCTGGTATCTCCGAGAGTTCCAATTTGTTCTAAGGAGTGTACAATTTCATATTCAGAGTCTTATTTTTTAAACATAAATTCCACTAGTCCAACTTATATATTCATAGTAATAATTGATAAAATCTGCACGCCAAGAGTATCGGGCAAGTGAAATTGTACACTGCTTGCTTCTGACCTGAACTCATTTGCCTATCTAGTAAACCCATTGGATGAAAGAAACTTATTTATTATATTTTTTTGTTAACAAAAACATTTTTGTCACAAGAATTTTATGCCTGAACATCTCGATTATTACGCAGGGTGTTGGTGCACTGTCCTACCAGTCATAATACATGTATTGGTAAATACTTTTCTGCAACGTCATTTGAATTGATTTCAAAATTGTAACTTATGATTCATTATAATTCATGATATATGCTATGTTGTACATTTCTACAACATAGCTGGGAAGATTTTCAAACTGTTCCAACCTTCTAAAATAGCCTGCAACCTTTAAGGAAAGAAATACCTTTCATGGGAAAACACCTTTTTCAAGGCCTGTATTGAACAGAAAAAAAGGTTGAAACTCTCTAGTATAAATGGTTAACATTTAACAAGTGTTAACAATAAAATGTAAACAAGAAAGTCTTTGAAGTTCGTAGGTGTTAGCAAAGGTGAGTAAGGTAAACAAGATTAAAACACACATTTACTTTACAATCCACCCAACAAAACATTGTGCAATGTAAATATACTCTACCTTGGCGAGCTAAAATACAATACAACAAACCATATATTAAACAGGACATAATAAATAATAAACAAATAATTTATCACATATTCTACAATCATTCTCCAGCCTATTTCTACATTATGCTTTAAGATGTAGACCAGCGACTTATGAAATATAATAAATATACACATACTCCATAAATTAGTTTTTGTCATGAACAGAAAATATACTTTTGATTGATTTGTTAATAATTACTTTAATAACAAATTATTTGGCAAGTATTGGATGATTCCAACAGTAATTAGAATTAAAACTACCATATTGATTTAGCAGTAAGCCCATACCTGGTAATAAGCCCAACCATCTATATATAGCAGTTCAGCAGAATTTCAACCAAATGCTATTTCCTTGTCCTGTAATAAGCCAATCCCCTATAGGCTTTCTTTGAGTTAGAGTTTGTATGTTGTCCCCACCTCATATCTTTTGGCTTATTGCCTGATTAATATGGTGCATACAGTCCATTCTGATTTATCCTTCAATCACTAATCTAGTTGTCCCAATATCTTAGGAGGTTTAGAAGGCAGATAGATATAGATCTTCTTCAATACAAAATTGCTCCACTAATCCAGTAGCTTGTTCCAACCACTTTTGCTAAGAAATAAATAGCTTGACATCACAGCTAATCGGCATATCTTTTCAGCATATACAGTATTTAAGAATTGAAATCACTATTCACATATAATGTTAAAGCACTCAAAAATAACACAGTATCTACTGATTGCTATATATTTATATACCATATATATATGTATCAGATAGTTTTTGGAAGTATTTAATTTTGGCTTTATTCCTGAGATAATGAAAAACAGAATCTTGACATTTCATCTTATTCCCAACAAAAAGAGATAAAATAAATAAAAAAAAATGCACTGATATGATGGAAATAATGTAGAGATGAAAAACAAAAAACTCAAACATGGAAATTTCATCTTAAACAAATTTGCAAAACTATAATATTCAACCTAATAATGCAAATTGAAATCCAATCAGGATTTTTCGTGAACATTTTGGTGAACTTTGCTAACATAGGTAGGAACACAACATAGTTGAACACAATATGTTCACCAAGTCCATGGGAAATGCCTGCGTATTGGACAAGGAAAATATCTATACTTCCGTCTCCGTTTCTTGGGTACAGGCGTCATTGCATACAAAGGTTTGTCCACATAGTGATAAAGTCCCAACGTCTTCAGGAATCCTAAAACATCGAATTCCGAGGGGGCTTGTTTTACGCGCCCCTTTTGTTTTGTAGGGACCTGTTTATTACACTGACCCTGATGGGTAAGTTTAGGGGGCTGTTTCTGAAGCTTACCAGCTGGAGTCCTGGTTTGTAGGGCGCGTCTCTGTTCTCTCACTTTCTCTCTGGCTGCCTGAAGTCGGTCCCTTTCCTGGACTAGAAATCTGCCAGATAAGGTCAAGCATTAAGTGGAAATTTCAATGATGTAGTGATAAGAATATAATCTGGAATCAATGACATTCTAAATTAATTGTTAGACATGCATGATTTGAGACTTATGATACCTGCTACACTTTTAGTCGTTCTCTGTCCTCACAATAAAGTGTTAACCTAAAAATACTTTTTTTGGAATAACAACAGTGTTTTTCCTACCAGAAATTTACATCAGCCTTTGCCAGCATGAATTTAGAAAATTTAGTAATAATTTTACAGCAATTACATAGAACTGGGTAAATACGCCCGATTTTTCTTCATTTTGAGAAGCTAACATTGCCTATTCTTTGGCTGTAAAACAGGCAAAACAGAAATCATAGACTGGACCACTCATATTGCATAAAATTCAGTATCCTTTGATAATGCAACAACAATATTTTTTATTTTATTTAAAAAACCCATTTACAATACTTTAAATTTGTTTTAAATACTGTACATGGAAACTACGTACTGTGTTTAGACTCTGTGATAGAGTGAATTGAGGAAGAAATACTGTTTATCTAAAGGGCAATACTTATTCTCTATATTGTACAGCAGTGTTGTATAATTGAAACTATTATGTGCATGTGTAACAAATTTATTAACTAACAGTTCGACTTGTGTTTTGAATTTATCTATTATATCATTTATTTATATGATCTTAATTACATTATTTTGTGATATGAATAGAATTAACATATTTTTTACTGATCATTACATTTCTAACTGCTTTATCGCATAAATATGTTGACATGATTTCTTGATAAAATGAATATGTTTAAGCAAAGATACGGTTGATGAATATATAATATGAAATGTTTGATTGTAACTTTGCCATATATTGCAAAAAAAGTGGGAAAAAAAGATAATTTCAAAAACAACAAGGTTACCGCGAGCGGTATATAATACGCCCGTCACACATTGAATGAGCAGTTGTTTGTATGATTGAAATATATGAAGTATTTGTGAGTAATTGATATTAAAAGAGAAATCATTCAACATAACTGGTAGATCAATGAGTGCAATACAACATCATGGAACGCATGCATCGCATTAATGAAACCAAGGGTAATAACTCCAGTAATTA